ACCATCTAAACTCTCAAAAGCTACCACGAACTAAATGTTGATCATAGATCGTTGCATATTTGATTCCAGCTTGGCGTTGTCTGCTTTCCAATTGCTAAAATAGAATATAATTATTAATTTATTTAAATATATTATAACCAATCATGCTTACAATATTTAGTCCAGGAATTGTGGATGCATTTGATTTCTTAGGTCGACGACGGTACAAAATCATCAGGAAGACAAAGACTATTGCAATAATCAGAAGCAATGCAACTGGTATAGCGTAAATTAAAGGCGAAGCTACAAATATGAAAATTATATAAATTAAATAAATTAAACACAAATGAAACTGAGTTACTTAAATATATTTTTTAAATGTTTTAATAAACAATAAAAATATATTTTTCTTAAAGAAATAGAGATTATTATTAAAAACGTTCGATACATGTTTTCTGATAGAAGATTTTAGTACAGAAGTAATAGACAATATTTTTAAAATCTGCAGAATACTAACAATATCTAACTTAAGCCCCTATATGAATACGATAGATCCAAAACAAAACTATGAATACCGCAAATATCTGAATGACGTCAAAAATGCCAGTCGTATATTTAAAAAAAAATATGTTTATTGTCAACTAGTGTAAGTATAACCTAAGTTTACATTATTCTAATTTTGTAAAGATCTTAATAAACTAGAAATTAATTCGCCCCCTTTACATACTCACCTATCTACCCCAATGCCACACCCAAGCTTTCTAACTTAGATAAACCTAGATAAAGAGAGGTGTTAAACCTTTTGATCATATATCTCCCCCCTAATAACTGAAATGAATTTTCCACATTGATGTGGATATTTTGAATAATTTTCAATTTTTAAAAACAACTACATCAGAATCTTTACTATATCATGATATATGATATATGTAATATGATAAAAATATTTCTAGGTTAAATACATATATATTTTTTCATTGGAGAAATCAAGTAGACAAATTAGAAAGGTATACCTAGATAACCGTCTGTGTCAAATTTCAACCATTTTCAGATTAAGAGGAAAACGGAACTTACTTCTCTACTTCTCTTCAATTGGTTTAGACAGTTACTTCAATAGTTTACCCCTCTCTAGTAGTTATAACTGCTCATAAGGCAAAGTCTTGTTAGAGTGATAATAATCAGGATTAGAGAAAAGTAATCAAAGTCAATTAGTTGCTTTGTTCTATTCAATTTGTGGACAGATTATGCCATATGTGTAGTTTGATATATATATCTTAAGTCATTTCTTTCAAAATATCGAGTAGGCACGATAAATTTTATTAAGGTTCAAGTAATAAACAGATTCAGTAGGGTTGATGCTAAAGACAATATTATACATATAGTTTTAGGCAGATTTAATGGAGTTACAGTAACTATAACCATTACTTTGATTATTTTAGATTTATTGTTGATTACTTTGATCAGACTCATGACGGTCATTTTAGAGCGATATATAATTTACGGTACACTAGTGTTATTCGAGAGAGTTTCGCTAGTCTTCTCATGTTCCATGTTCCAACTATGGCTATTAACCTATTATCTGGCCAATTTTTGAAGCGTGTTGTTTTTGTTTTTTGGATAAAAGTGTCGTATAATATATAATGTATATTGAAAATTAATGAAAGTACCATAAATTAGAAATCTCAATTATGTTTACACAATTGTTTTAATTATACTAATTCGCTTTTATGTTATGTGAAAAATAAACAATAAATTAAAATTTTTAAAATTATTCTAATTATATACCTAAGTTAGCAAGTATCTAAATTTTCTAACAGTTCTTCATTACTAACCAAATAGTTTAAGCGAAATAATGTTGTACAGCGGTTTATTTTACGTTTTTATTATTATCTCTATTTTAGAAACTGGATACGTTAATGCAAATAAGAAATTAGGTAAAATATTCGGTGGTACAACAACAACAATTTCTCAAGCACCCTTCATAGTTCAATTATTTTCAAGTCAAGGTGTATTTTGTGGAGGAGCTCTAATAGACCCAGACAGAGTAATTACTGCAGCTCATTGCGTTGATGGCAAAACTATTGCTGATGTGCAAGTAAGAGGCGGTACAACGGCCTTAAATAGTGGTGGAGTTACAAGAAGTGTAGCAATGATAACTATTGCAAAACGTTTTAATTCACGAAATATGAATATGGATATAGCTATGCTTAAATTAACTTCTCCATTAATTGGCGATAATATTAAAACTATTGCTTTGTCAACAGGTGGCACAAAAGTTGGTAGTAATGTGAGAATTTGGGGATGGGGTATTGATGAGACAGGCTCTCAATCAGATGTATTAAAATACACCGATGTGAAAGTGATTAAAAAAGCTAGGTGTAAACGTTACTATCCAACAACAAGAAATAATTTTTGTGCATTCACATCTGGCAAGGATGCATGTTTTGGTGATTCAGGTGGTCCAGTTACATACAATAATCAATTAATTGGTCTGGTTTCATATGGCAAGGGTTGTGGTGTTCTACCAGGTGTGTACACAAGTATACGTGCTCTTAAAAACTTTATAAGCAAAACACGAAAATTATAAAATTAATATTATTATTATAGAAATAGTTTAATTGTGTTATATGAAAATAAAGAATTAATTAACAACTAAATAAATAAAATGTTTAATATATATATTATGAGATTGTGAATGTACATGTACATATCTATACATAAATACACATAAAATTATGTTGGTATATCGTTAGTATTGTTAAAACTAAGACTAACACTATTTATTAAAGAAAGCAAATTGATGATATTACATTCTACAGAAATTCAAGAAGATATATAATTAATTTCTAAAAAAGGTCTTCAATCAAATATTGTGAAAGATTTATTTTAATTTTAAGTGGGAATATTACAGGTCACTACCCAACTTGAACACTTCCGTTCTAAATATATCATTTTGAGTCTATTTTTAAAAGAAGGATTAAAAAAATATTGTCCTCTAACCATTAGATTTAATATTTTTTAATTAAAATAAACATTTTTGAAACTATTAGTAATATTCCAAACTAATTATCTTCCAAGTCTGAAGATATCATTTGGTTATGACAATATATACATCTCAAGGGTACAAATATATACAAAATTTGTTGTATTTTATTTTCTTAATTTAATATAGAATTATATTCAATATAAATAAATCGACAAACTTTTAAAGAACCATCCAATTGCTCAATACAAAAACAAACATTTGTTTTGGTTGTATTTAGTGAAATGTAGTGATTATAATATTGTTTCAATAATTACACAAGTGTAGTTTTAATAATTTAACCTTGTATAACACGATACATAAGTGATTTATTATTATTATTTCTTATTTAACAAGTTGGAAGCTTGGATAGATTTAAGTGCTAGGCTTTCAAAGTTTAAACATTAATATAGGCGGTACTTATGATGTTTTCGATTGCTAAAACTGGGGTAACTTTTCCAATCAAGATACACTTTTAGTACAATTTTTATTGTCAAATGATAAATCTCGAGCGAAATATATAACACTCAAGATTAATTTATAGTACTCTAGATATTTTCCAGATTAGCAAGATTATCCTGAAATTTTTAGCTGCTTAAAATTCATATTAATATATTTTTTAAAATTATATATTAAATTTTATATTAATATTGAATTTGTATATAAAAATATTTAATAAATTTTTTATTTATAAATAAAATTATTCTTTAATAATTTAAATTGATGAAAAATTAAATTTTATATTCAAAAATATATTTTTATTAAATTTAATTTTTACATTTTATTTTTAAAGTAATATTTATTAATTTTAAAAAAATATATATTTTCAAATTACACATAAAATTTTAAATTAATATTGAATTTGCAATCAAAAATATTTAATAAATTTTTTATTTATAAATAAAATTAATTTTTAATAATTTAAATTGATGAAAAATTAAATTTTATATTTAAAAATATATTTTTATTAAATTTAAGCAGATAAAATGTGAATATATTCAATATATGCATTTATGAAAATCGTAAATACCCACTAACATAACTACAAAAGAGTTAGATCACTCTAAAAACATTCGTTTGACAGATCGAGTGTAAATCTAGAATGAATGAAATTTACCAATCGACAACACCATTAATGAATGTTGGTAGACTATTATAAAATTTAAAATACTGAATGTAGTAAGTCACATATAATATCCACAAATTAAATCGTAACTCAAGTTTAGTCAACAGGAAAGACAAGCTTTATGTGAATATTTCGTAATGAAAACACAATTGTAGGATATTCAATTCTTTATGGGTTCATAGTAAATATCCCGTCGATATGTACACTTAGAAAAATATCCACTAACCACATACTAGTTAAATTGACTTTACCATTTTCTTAGAAAAATTTTAGCTCATGTGGTAAAGATGATATAAAAACAAACATGTGGTATGGTTGCGTCGAGTAAGAATATTTTGACCTGAGATTTAGTTAAAATCTGTCTATATATATATTTATGAATACAATGAATACTAATGGAATGTGAAATGAATATATAAAACAAATAAATTAATTTCAAATGCAGTGAATGCTTGTATTTAGTGTTACAGTTTACTTTAGATATCTGGACAAACAAGTAAATGAATTAACTGGATTTTAAGCTAAATTTTTTACTGTATATTTGTACTACTGAATATATATAAACCTATTATAACCTATTAGTTATATGTTTGCTATAACTTACCCCTTGGTAAGGAGCGAGACCTACCAACACCTCTACTGATCTTTGGGCCATATCATACAGTATGAATACGCAGTTCCACGCCGAATGAAAGTAAAATGCAATCATTCTTCCCGTGTAAGTTTAGGTCTAACCACAGCCACCACGACACTATCAACTTCAATTGGTCAGGTCAGCCGAAGTTGCGGGCACTGTCCCCGAGGTACCAGATATACACCTCCGTTCGGTATCGAACGACAGATATGCCTTAACTAGAGAATATTCTAGGTAAATAGGTAAATAGGTAAATAGCAGCGACCTTAACTCTGGCGTTCTAAGAAAGGTTACTTCTTTATTGGCCGAACGATAAACTAGCTCACTACTTTAGATACTGTCAAGATGCTCATTCTAGCTATGTTGTTTACAACTTTTCAGCAATTACAGCATGATGATCACCTAAACAAATGCTACAAACGTATCTACACCATAGATTAATAATGGATACTTTCAATTTTAATTCTAAGTATATTTTTTTTTTTAGAAGCAGATATTGATTCTCAATAAGAATAAACATTTAAAATAAATACTTACCCTTTTTAACCGATTCATTTGGTTTAGCAGTTTTTATATATCCTTTCTCTATGTCCGCATCAATTTTATGATTTGCTGGTGTTGTAGTTCGAAGTTCTTGTCGAGTTACATACATTGTGGTAGCTATATTACTAATATTTTGTGAAGGTACTGCCGCCATAGTAAAGAGAGCTGGCGTGGTTGCTTCACTGGTCGATGATAAAAATATGTTCGGTGTGATGTGATTATCATTAGGGAAACTAATAATATTCTTAGTTGGACTCGGACGATAGCTAATTCCATTGTCATGATTGTTTTTTATAGCAGAGAGTCTAAAATATTTTATAGATTTTTATAAGAGCATGTTATTTAAGTTTTTATGTTTAAATCTATAGTTAACTATACTTTAATAAATTCTACAATATAAATTTAATCACAGATAAAGATAAATATATTAATAGGCTTTAAAAATTCCCTTAATTATTTATTTTAATATGAATATTAAATATGAAATTTATTTTAATACTTTATATCTACACTTTTTACATAAAAATGTTGGAACCATTTATCGGATCGGTTTCCTACGTTTCGGCTGCAAGAATAATATACCTATTATTATAGGTATTAATATACCTATCTTTCATTTTTAAAAAGCTAATTATTACTGATTTTTAATTAAAAAGTATTAATAACGTATTTTTCGATTCCTGGTACTTGCAGTCTGAAAAAATTTATTTACGAATAATTAAATACAAGAATTATTTCCAACACCACTGATGATGGGTATTTGCCAATACTCGAAACAGCTTTATGGTCAGCCAAAAATTCAATTAATTAAAATAATATAAAATAAATTTTTGTTGTTGTAGTTCACTACTCCTCGAAAAAACCCCTTTAAGTATTAATAAATGAAAGTATCTTAGCCATTATTATTCTTTATCGAATAGTATATTCGATTCGTGTTTCTTTATTGATCTATCTATAATATTATACTTATTCGATATTATTATTACCTGAAGTATCCTAAGTAGAAGCAACTACAGAACACATGTAGAATACTAACAGCCTTAACCTTGCAATTGTCTGTTACCCAAGCACTATTCCTATTCCTTCTAGAGAGGCACTAAGATGAGTTTAATGATTCATGATTAATTTAAAACGGATTATTTACTTTAAAAAAACTTACAATATTTTCATCTGATTTAGATTTCGCTAATTTTATTTGTAAACTATGAGTATGCGGGTCCTGATGTGCTTCATTGGCTTTCCAATCTAATACAGACGTTAGGATTTTTAAGTCAAAGACGGCGAGGTTAATAACGTAGTTATTTTGATTAGTAAAAAAATCTTCAGTATATTGCACTATCGACACACAATATGGAGTTGTTTCAGATATTAAATTTGCTTGACGTATCTTAAATGAGCCTTCCTCTTTGGTATGAATAGCAGAAATGGAAAATTCCTTTTTTAATAGATAATTCCCTGTCATTTTAGAAATGCTTATACTAGCAAAATTTGTTTCTGCAATAATCAAAAATAATATTTATATATATATACATAAAATCTTTAGAACTTAAGTAACAATATTAAATATTCTTATATCTTTATTACTTACTAATGTTCTCATTAAGAATTAGCTCACTGTAGCACATTTTCTCTACCAATGCATTTACTCTCTCGGTAACTTTTATGTTATCCGTAGAGCCATTACTACTTCTTGATTTGAGTATATCTTGTATAAGTTGCAAGTTCATTTCAACATAAGCCAAATCCACAGAGATTGTTTTTACTTTATTATTTGTGTATCGGTCACCGGAGTAACTCCTATATCTATCCAACATTTCTAAATTTTTTCCCTGCGCATCGGTTTGACTTGCTATATCATTATTTGCACTCACTGTAGTTATTTGATCTAGAACTTCCAGAAGTTTTTCTAAAGTCGATGGATCATTTAAATCAAGTAATTCCAAATTATTTTTGGCTCTTGAGACAAATTGTATAATTTCATTATGGGAGATATAAAATTGTGTAGTTGGGTGTTCCACCAATTTATTTATTTCTTTATGCATAATATCTTTTATATAGTCTCGCCATTCATTATATCTTTTCTGATCAGCATTCTTTTTGAATAAAACACTGATGAAATAAATTCAATCAACTTTTAAGAGGTTAACTTACCTTATATGTAAGTGCTGCCATAAATATGAGATTATGTGCAGTCTCGTAATCTGTTCTTATAAATGCCGATTTCACAATTTCTTTTTGAATGTTGAATTCCGTATCAGTTATTGTAGTATAGTCAATAGATAATGGGTCTCCATAAATTATATTACAAGCTCCTCTAATATCACATATTTTAACAAATAATTTAATCGGACTATCTAGAAAAAAATAATATACATTAATTAACATAACAAATACATATATATATATATATATGCTACAATAGATCTATTGTGTGTAATAGGATTGTTCAATAAATTACATTGAGTCATCACATATCACTTAAGTGTTGCCGTTGTTTATCAAAAACTGAATACTTACAAAAAATATACTCTAGACACTCTATATTTATTTTACAAAAACGATGGACATCAATATCTGAGACCCCAAATTATATAAGTGATACCTCAGGTTGCAATGATTTGTAAAGTAATCAACCCAGAGAGTCCTTAAGTCTACCGTGTTAAGCGAAAGTATCTAACTTGATACTTTGATACTCCCACCGATAGTACAAAAATATTTTTCTTGAGATTGATTTACACTATTAAGCCAGTTGTCTAATAATTTTGTCTCCTTCCATTTCGTAGTAGCAGTATTTAAGTGGTGAGTCTACAAAACGGCTCTGAACCAATTAAGGACATATTTTTATCTCTCTTAGGATCCATTCTATCAATATAGTAGTGTCAACCCTGATCAAATACTCTAATGACAACCCTGTAAAGAAAACATTATCACTTTTGACAGGAGCATAGTGTGTGTGATTTGACAACGAGAGAAGACAACACGTGAAGTTCTGATACGTGACGAAATATTTATTTTTTTTTAATAAAATTGTAAAATTGTAATTATTAAATAAAGTCCAGTGAAATCTTCAGAAGTGGAATTAGAAATCCGCGTGCACTGCGAAAAGTGTAAAAATAAAAGTTGCATACGTTTGAAAAACAAAAAAAATACATTACGCAAAATTGAGACTCTTCGGGGTAATTGTTTTGTGCTGTCGTTCGTAGTAAGCGTCAATTTACATATCTTTTTGAAAGTGTTCGTGACGTGTCGTAGAACTAAATATAGTGTCATCTCACTCGCACTTGCGGCATACGAAATCGAAAACGTTTTAGTGGATACATACTTTTTGTTTTTCGCTTTGAAAATCAGATGCACGTGTATGAAATTAGCGATCGTTTCATATAAAGCAATCTTTTTCATATTTGATTTCAAAAACCGCATACGTATTGACGTAGTAAAAAAATAAAAAACGTTATAATAGTTAAAACATCAAGGAACTACAACAAAATGAATTTTTATAAATTCACGTTAAATGAGTTACGACAAAAATGTAAAGATGCTGGTGTAAGCACAAAGGGAAAAAAGAAAGATTTAATCAAACAGCTGGAAGAAATAGAAAACGATGATGAGTACGAGACAGTGAATGATACTTTAACACAAAGAATTAATGTGTTAGAAAAATCCCTTGCACAAATGCAAAAGCTACAAGAGGTTAAAAACCAAAATGTAATTACAACAAGTCAAATGTTTCAACCGCCGGTAATGTCGTCACCAATAGGTAATTACATGACCACGTCAAACGTAAAGCCAGTCTGCTCAACTGTTTTAAATTCACCAATAATGTGTCCTGAAATGCAGACAAGCGTAAACAATAATATGTTGAGTAATAACTGTGCCGTTATGAGTGTTCCATATACATCTATATCGCAACAATATCCAACGATTTCTTATGTCCACGCTAATCCTCTTGGACCAACAACACCACAGTTATTTCAGTCATCAGCTCCGATACAACAACCGCCCTTGCCAAATGCGGCTAACAATTGTCCAGTTTTTGGCAGAAATGAAAACTTTTTACAAGCATCAACAACGCGCTCGATCTCACAACCTGCGACAAATTGTGCTTACAATATGGCAACAGTGAATCATATGGATTCACTACACCGAAGACATGATATTGCGTCTCAAAATATTCCGACTGTTTCTCCATTACAATGCCAAAATCAATTTGGAAATGTGCGTGATGTAATCACCCTTCTGCCGAATTTCGACCCATCATCGGACAAGTCGAGCTCCTCAAAACAATTTATCAAGCGGATAGAAAGCTTACGGGACGCATATAATTGGAACGATCAAGTTTTACTGTTTGCAGTCCAGCAAAAATTGCATGGTCATGCAAAATTCTGGGTGGATGCACAAGAAATATTCTTAACATGGCCACAGTTTGTTGCGAAGTTTACTGCTGATTTTCCTTCTAGTGAAAATATTGCTGATGTTCATCTTGAAATGGCGCATACCAAACGACAAGGTAACGTGACTCCGCAGGAATATTTTTATAAAATGGTATCTATAGGCACTAGAGGTGGAATACCCGAATCAGCAATAGCACGATATATAATATTGGGAATAAATGACCCGGACTTGAGAAAAAAAATTTCAAATGATTATGTGTCATACAACGATCTGCTTAGAGATATAAATAATTATACCGTATACAACGAAGTTAAAAATTTTCCGACCCAAGCGAAAAATCAATTTTCATCATATACCGCTCGCAACGTTGAGACCAAAAACGTAACATACGGAAAAAATTTCAAAACGAACAATGAGAAGAATGTTAAATGTTTTAACTGCTCAAAGGTTGGCCATTACTCGTCTAAATGTCCAGAACCAAAACGAAAAGAACGCTGTGCCAATTGCAATCGCACCACACATAAAACTGACAACTGTCCCGATAAAAAAATATTTAAATCTAATCCGACAATTAATAAAATTAGTGAACAATCTTCTAATAAAAATAAAGATAATGTAATAAAACAAATTAAAGTAAATAATTTCGATGCAAAATCATTTATAGACTTAGGTAGTGTTCACACACTCGTACGCGAATCTTTTGCTAAAAACTTTGAAAACCACACGAACTGCTCTGTATCTCTTACAGGCTTTGCAGGTGGTAAATATGAATGTATTTCTAAAATACATGCGATCGTTGAAGTGGACCTAAATAAATTCAGTGTGGATATGCTGATTGTTGAAGATGATCTTATTCCGGAAGACATACTTCTGGGTCGAGACATATTGTGCCATGAAGGAAACCGTGTTATTATAGAAGGCACTCGATGTCAAATAGAAAATTCACAAGTTACTGCTGACATGAACAAATTTCAAACCGAAAAATTAAAAAGTCTTTTATCAGAATATAGTTCCGTATTCGCCGAATCTTTGGCTGAAATAGGTAAGTGTGTGACTAACAAAATGAAAATACAACTCACTACTGATACCCCCGTTTGTATGAAACCATATCGATTACCGTTTGTAAAACGTGAAATTGTATCCAATATTATCGCAGAATTACAAGAGAACGATATTATACGACCATCCGATTCGCCATTCGCATCTCCAATCGTGCTAGTTGAGAAAAAAAATGGAGAACATCGACTTTGTGTCGACTATAGATGTTTAAACAAAATCACGAAGAAAAACCCGTATCCAATGCCAAATATGGAAGAACAATTTGCTCAGCTGGCCGGAAATAACTACTTCACGACGTTAGATCTACGAATGGGATACCACCAGATAGAAATTGAAGAATCTTCTAAGCAATACACCGCTTTTGTAACTACTGATGCACATTACGAATATAATCGAATGCCATTTGGGTTAGTAAATGCCCCGGCTGTATTTCAAACTACTATGAACCAAATTGCTTCACAAATGACTAAAGGAGAAATTCTTGTATACCTTGACGATGTCATTATACCAAGTCAATCAATTGATGAAGGGTTAAACCGACTACAAAAAATTCTACATTTGTTAAAAGAAAACAACCTTACCTTACGTTTTTCTAAGTGTAAATTCCTATCTACAGAGCTAGTGTACTTAGGTCACGTTATAAACAAAAACGGAATAACGCCAGGCCTTCTAAAAGTAACAGCGATCAAAAACTTTAAAATACCTACAAATATAACCGAAGTCCGTCGATTTTTAGGATTGACGGGATTTTTTAGAAAATTCGTTCGAGATTATTCATTAATCACAAAACCAATTACGAAGCTTCTTCGCTCGTCAGAACATACTTTTACTTGGGGAGCGGAGCAGCAGCTAGCTTTTCAAAAATTAATCCAAATACTTAGTAGCGGTCCGGTACTTGTTTTATATGATAGCGTAGCCGAGCACGAAGTACATACTGACGCCAGTAGTGTAGGTCTCGCAGGCGTTCTTATGCAGTCTACAGACGGTAAACGTTGGAAGCCGGTATTCTATTATAGCCGTCACTGTACTGAAGCCGAAAGTAAGTACCATAGCTATGAGCTCGAGACTCTTGCTATTGTCGAAACACTAGATCGTTTTAGAATCTATCTGCTTGGAAAACATTTTCGTGTCGTGACAGATTGTTCTGCAATTGCTACAGTGAAAGCGAATAAAGAACTAAAACCGAAAATTGCACGCTGGTGGATGAAGCTACTTGAGTATGACTTTGAAACAATCCATCGCCAAGGAAATCGTCTCGCTCATGTCGACGCGTTAAGTCGATCACCAGACGAGCCACCTAATGAGGTCGAACCGGCTGGGTTTGTAAT